CAAAAGGCTCAGCAGCATGCCAAACCAGAGTTGACGAGGCCATGCTGGGGCTATGAGGATGACCATTGCTTTGTCTTGCTTCATCTTTAGCAAGATCGTGTGGATTAACAGTATCGGCAGGAAGGCGTATAGCAGCGCCCCCGACCTTGGGATCAGGAATGCGTCCAACAGGGAGCCCTTGTCCCTGCCCTGCAGAGAACAAAACACATGGCACTTTCTGTTCTGCCTGGACGTGAACAGGTCCACCTGGGGAGTTCCTCACCTGTGGAAAACTAGGCTCATCATCTCCGGATGGAGCGACCATTCGTGGCAAGGTGAGAAAGTCCTGCGGAGGTGATCTGCCAGGACGTTCTTGGTTCCGGGCAGGTGGGCAGCTACTAAATGAATGGCGTGCAGCACACAAAAGTCCCAGAGGCTGAGCGCTTCCTGACAAAGGGCTGAAGACCTGGTGCCCCCCTGCCTGTTGATGTAATACATTGCGACAGTATTATCCCTCAGGATCTACACCTCATTGCCTTCCAGGTGGGGCAAGAAAGCCTGGCAGGCCAGGTGAACCGCTCTGAGAGCCCTGACATTGATATGAAGGGATAGGTCATGTTGTAGCCAGCGGCCCTGGGTGTTTGAGCTCGCGCAGATGGGCTCCACAACCCAGATCTGACGCGTCTGAGACCATGGTGAGCGACAGAGATAGGGTAGCGAAGGGGACTCCTTACGGTACCGACATGGGATCCTGCCACCAGTCCAAAGACCAGAGGACATGGCTCAGCACCATGACCACTCAGTCCAAGGGGTGCTTGCTGGGAATGTAGACCGAGGTAAGCCACGGTTGCAGAGGCTTTAGATGAAGCAGGGTGTGGTTGACCATGTATGTTCACGTAGCAATGTGGCCTATAAGTCACAGGAACGTGTGGGCTGTGCTGAGCAATTGGCTCTTTATGAGGGAGATCAAGTCAATCATGGCCTGAAAAAGTGTTTCCAGCAGGAAGGCCCATGCCTACGTAGAGTCGAGAACAGCTCCGATAAACTCTATGCGTTGGACTGACGTTAATGTGGATTTTTCTGTATTTATTAACAGGCCCAGGTCGCTGCAGGTGGAGCGCACCAAATAGAGGCTCTTTTGCACCTGCTCCAGAGACCTGCCCTTGATGAGGCAATCGTCGAGATACTGGAAGATCTCGACCCCTTGATGCCTCAGGTAAGCTGCCACCGGCACCATGCATTTCGGGAACACCCTGGAGCCCAGGACAGGCCAAAGGGTAGTGCCATGAACTGGAAGTGGCGCCCAGCCACTATGAAATGCAGGAAACACCTGTGTCCTGGGAATATGGGGACATGAAAGTGTCCTTTAAGTTGAGAGCGGCATACTGGTCCCCCAGATCCAGGGAAAGGATGATGGAGGTCAGGGAGACCATGCAGCACTTCAACTTCTTGAGAGACTTGTAGAGGCCCCGCAGGCCTAGAATGGGTCTGTGGCCCCCTTTCACTTTCAGGTTTAGGAAGTAGCGGGAGTAGAATCCTCTTCCTTCCATGTCCCAAGGAACCTCCTCCACAGCCCTCAAGCTTAGGAGCTTCTCGACTTCCTGAACTAGGAGTTGCTCACGAGAAGGGTCCCTTAAGAGGGATGGGGAAGTGGTGGGGGTGGGAGAGAGGGGCGGCCAGAAATTGCAGGGTGTAGCCCCGAGCCACTATGTCCAGGACCCAGCAGCCTGCCGTAACCCACACCAGGCCGAGTGGTAGGGGAAATGGTGGTTGAGGAAAAGACGGGAAGGATCTGGGCAGTTGACTGGTGAGTCATTCCCGAGCACACCCTCAAAATGAGCCCTTTTGGCCCCCTTGGTGCTTCTCCAGGCCAGGCTGCGTAGGAGACCGGGACGACAAAGAGCGGTGGTGGTTAAACCCGACGTCCAGTTTCCTTGCAGGCCCTTGTTGAGGATGCCACTGTCGAGGTGGTGGAAAAGGCCATAACGGCTGTCTCAATGCCTGAGGAGTGTGCATCCCCAGAGAGCAGAGGGTCGCGCACGTGTCCTTCAGGCCGTGCAGATGCGCATCCGTTTGGTTGGAGAACAGGCTGTTACCGTCAACTGGAATAGAGGCCTGCATCTCTTGGAGCCAGGAACTGTGCTGCATGACCACCACTAAAGCGACCACTCGGGCAGCTGAATCGTCCACATTCCAAGCTATCTGGAGGGAGCACCGAACCGCTGCAGTCCCCTCCTCCCTCCACCAGGATCGCCAACTCCTGGACCATCTCCTGGGACATGGAGTCCTTGAACTTGAGGAGAGAGTCCCACAAGTTAAAGTGATAGTGACCCAAAAGGTTCTGGTGGTTCACCACCCGAAACTGGAGGCTGGTCGTAGAATAAATTTTGTGACCAAACAAATCCAACCTCTTGGCCTCCTTATTTTTAGGGGTGGAACTGGTGGGCCGACGTGACCAACGATCCCAGTGGCAGGTGAGTGTACAAGTAATCAAACCCCTTTGCAGGGATGAAATACTTCTTTTCTGCCCTCTTAGAGGTAGGCGGGATGGAGGACAGGGTTTACCAGATGGTTTTGGCAATGTTCAGGACCCCCTTGTGTACCGGGAGCGCGACGCAGGCTGGGGCGGACGCCGAGAGCACATTAAACAATGTGTCCGTCTGCTCCTCTATCTCCTCCACCTTGAGGCCCAGGTTGGAAGCGACCCTGCGGAGCAGCGCCTGAGGCTCCCTAAAATCATCTAGCTCGAGGGGCCCGCCACCGCCTCATCCAGAGAGGAGGAGAATGATTGGACGACCAGGAGAGGTCTGACAATGTCCTCACACGTCGGAGAGGGTGACCTTGGGGTGGGTACCGGCTCCTCACCTGCGGCAGCTGCTGGAGCATCCTGCACTGAACCCAGTGCCGTGGAGGCCAACTTTGGCATGTCTGACGCGGTGACCAAGGGTTGGCAGGAGTGGGGCAACAGTATGACGGGAACGCCTCAGGCATTCCAGTAAGGCCATTGGGTCAGCCACTGGCCCTGCTGCTGGGTCAGAACTGATGCCGCGGACGCACCCTCTGGAGCCCAATCACGATGCTGTCTGGGCGAGGGGCTGAACTGCGCTTTCTGAGCTGTAGAAGTCGTCACCCTCCGGTGACCAAGGCGGGGCTGTGGAGGCTTGGATCTGGTGGCTCACCATTGCTGCCAGTGATCGGTGCCAGAAACAGTCCGACCGGTGCCGGGAGTAGGGCGAGTGGTGCTGCATTGGGGAGCGACCAGGAGGTCTTGGCGATGGTGACCGACAACGCGATGAAGACCAGTGCCAGGGAGATCATCGACACCTGGGTGAGCTCCAGCGCAAAGTCAGATATCGGGAGCGTCGCGCCAGAGACCTGGGCTGACGCAGAGACCAAGAACATGGTGACCTAGGGCTCTGTCTTGGCTTTGGAGACCGGTGGCGCTTGCTTGTTTTGTGTGAGGCCTTGCCGGCGGGTTTGCACTCACGGAGAGCCTTACCTGGTTTCATTGCTGCCTGCGGTGCCACCTGTGGCGGAGGCACTCTTAGCTCTCCAGGCGCTTGGGGCTCAGAGGGCGTTGACTGCACCGTTGGTTTGGGTCCTTTATCGTTCCCTGAAGTCGGTGGCAGGTTCTTTTGGGGGGATGAACTCCCCAGGGCTGAGCCCTTTTGCGGGTCCAGAGTGGGTGTAAGGCCTGAGCCTGGTCCTTTGCCCAGTGCCCCTTCGTCGGGCTTGCTCGGTGCTGTCTTCTTCTTCGTCACCGGGGATCGCTGCCAGGAGAAGCCCAATGCCGTGGGTGCACTATGTACCATAGTTGACGCGCTGGGTGCTGGTTCAGGCTTTGCCCGCTCCAAAGCTGGACGTTGGGCAGCGCTGCATCAGGAGGGGCATGAGGCATATGTTGCGCTCTCTTTGTGTCTGAGGACGAAAGTTCTGGCAGATGCAACAGCGCTCCTTTATGTGGGATTCCCCGAGGCTTTGTAGACAACTGTTGTCCGGGTCACTAACAGGCATAGGCCTGTTACACAAAGAGCAGGGTTTGAAACCTGGAGACCGGGGTATGCCCCGCCTGGGGCAAAGTCCCCGCTGGGACACTATCTAACTGAACACTTAACAGGTACTTAACTAACAAATGATTAAATTATTTACAGCTAGAAGAACAAGGCTAAGAGAAGAGAAGCAAGGGACAGAGGTGCTCTGACTGACCACCACAGGTGGTAAGAAGGAACTGAAAGGGCACAGGGCCGGCGGCACCTGATATACCGTGACATGAGTGCGGCACTCCAGAGAGCGCCACAGCTGGCCCTACGGGAACCACTAAGGCAAAAGTCTCCGATGACCGCGCACGTGGGTGCACGCACACCTACAATGGAATCGATATTGAATGTCAGGACAAGTAATATGATAGTTCAGTATTATAAATATTAGAGAACTGCATACATTTTTAACTCAGAAACTGAATAGTCATAATATGCAATAATGTCCTTAGTGCAGCCTTATAAATTGTTATGAAAATTTACTAGCAGGTGCAAAATCTACTTGCTCACCTTCACCATGGTAATAACAGGAGGAAATATTTTATTTCCTTCGGGTGAGTGAGCAACTAGAATACAACGTTGATTTAGCACATATAACAATCATGTGAGGTGATCAATATGCTAAGCTTTCTAAAATGAATATGCATTCTTGTCAGATTTTATTTTGATTAATGTTGTTTTAGATATGTTAATTTTACTAATGGACATTGGCTCAGTGAAGTAAAAATTGCTCACTGTACCATTATTGGGGGGGAAAACCAACTATATCATCTTAGTGAGCAGCTCATTCCAGGGATCGTTCAAACAATTTTAAAAATACATTTTATGAATTAGAAATTTAAAGAACTTTGCTCTTAATAATAAAAATCAATCTATTACTCTGGAATGATTTTTAGGTGTAACAAACATTATAAACAGTGCAAATCAAAATGTTATTAATGCTTCAAAATGAATTAATATGATACAACAGTAAAATAAACTTACTGGTTCAGTAAGCGTGCTGTCCTTTTCTAAAAATTGAACTACACAGTATGCCAACTAAATTAAAAAAAAAGAGAAAGTGTATATTAATAGTTAAACCAAAGTATTTCAATTTAAGCATATGCCACATACAAATTTTGTTAACATTAAAAATTTAGAATATTTCCAAATTCAGGGAAAAACACCTTCAACTATTACATGTAGTAAAAATATTTGAATAATTTTTATTCCTGTATTTTTCAGACACGCTTTAAACAGCAATGGTACATCAGACTTTCAAAGTATCAAATATAATATTTTCTGAGTTATAGTAGATCTTTAACAATGTTTTGACAATATTTTACTTGACTAATATCCCACTCTTTTTTTCACATTCTTTTCTGCTGGCTTATGAACGTACTCAGTCTCATGATTGTTCAAAAAAATAAGTTCCCTAATATTGTTTCTTGAAAAAAGCCAAGACATCTTTATAATCTCAAACTTTATAATTTTTTGCCTCACAAAAAGAAAGAGCTTACCAGTAATTATCTTTACTGTAATTTCCTCTTCTCAGTAACTGAATGTGGTATGTTTCCACTTATCAGAAAACACGGAGATAAAAATACTGCATCTTTCCAGAATATACAAAAGGAGCCAACACCTCTCCTATACAACCAATCATGATTCTTTCTACAAAAACATACAACCCTAAAAATACGAGGGGAGGAGAGTAGTATCAAGATGTGGGAAGTGAAAACTGATAAAGATGCCAATAAGTAATTTTCTCTTGTTCAGTGCTGGCGGGGCCACGCCGAGGCTATGAGAATGACCCTCGCCTTGTCCACTTTCACCTTCTGAAGGACCTTGGCGATGAGTGGGAATGGGGGGAGGGCATAGAGGAGCTGGCCCGACCCCACCCTTCCCCTGGAACAGAATTGTGGGCAACGCCGGTTCTGGCAGGTTGCAAACATGTCGATCTGGGGAGCTCCCCACTCTAGGAAGATTTGGTGGGCGACCGCCGAGTGGAGCGACCACTCGTACTGGGGGGAGAAGATTCTGCTGAGGCGATCCTCTTGCGTATTGCGGACACCTGGGAGGTGAGCCGCTGTCAGGGAGATATTGTGGGCTATACAGAACTCCCACAAGGCCAGGGCTTCCCGGCAGAGGGCTAGGGAACGAGTCCCGCCTTGCTTGTTATAGTACATGGCGGCGGTGTTGTCCGTGAGGACTCTGACCACCCTGCCACGGAGGTGCGTGAGAAAGGCCACGCACGCCAGACATATCGCCTTGAGTTCCTTGACATTTATGTGCCGGGACAAGTCTGGGGTCGACCACATACCCTGGGTCTGTACGTCTCTCATGTGAGCTCCCCAGCCCAGGTCCGAAGCATCGGATGTCAGATCAATGGATGGGTTGGCCTCCCTGAAGGGAACCCCTTGCAGCATATTGCTCGGGAGGGACCATCATTGAAGGGAAGCCAATACCGGGGACAGGATTGTGAGAACCTTGGCCAGGCCGTCCTGGGCCTGGGAGAATTGGGAGGCTAGCCAGAGTTGGAGGGGCCTCATGTGGAGTCTGGCATGGCGGACCACGTACGTGCAAGCCGCCATGTGCCCCAGGAGCCGAAGGCACCGGGAACGAGGAGACCAAGGCAATGAGGTCCCTTAGGGTCTCGAACCTGTCCAGGGGAAGAGAGGTCGTGGCCTTGGAGGAGTCCAGGAGAGCTCCAATGAACTCTATGCGCTGGACGGGCACTAGAGTAGATTTTGCCTCGTTCACAACTAGACCTAGGTTTTTGCACGTGGCCAGGAGTAGCTGCACATGGGTCTCCACCTCTAGATGAGAATCGCCCTTGAGGAGCCAGTCGTCCAGGTAGGGGAAGATTTGCACCCCCTTTTTCCTGAGGTACGCTGCCACCACTGCCATACATTTCATGAAAACGTTGGGGGCTGTGGATAGGCCAAAGGGGAGGACCGTAAACTGGTAGTGCCCCGTCCCCACCACGAATCTGAGGAAGCGTCTGTGCCCCTTGAAAATGTGGACATGAAAGTAAGCATCCTGGAGGTCCAGGGCCACGTACCAGTCTCCCGGGTCTAGGGTGGGGATAATAGAAGTTAGGGACACCATGCGGAACTTGGAACGGGTTAGGAACCTGTTCAGGTCGCGCAGGTCCAGGATGGGTCTGAGACCCCCTTTCACCTTGGGGATCAGGAAGTATCGGGAGTAAAAACCCTTGCCCTGGAACTGCGCTGGGACGCGTTCCACCGCACCGAGGCTGAGCAGCCGATCCACCTCCTGACCCAGGATGCGGACCTGCTTGGGATCTCCCAGGGCCACACTGGGGGGCGGGTGGCTTGGGGGGGGGGGGGAAGTGAACTGCAAAACATATCCCTCGGCAATAGTGCTGAGGACCCACTGGTCTGACGTTATGCGGGACCACGCCCTGAGGAAGGCAGACAATCGGTTGCAGAACAGAAGCTTTATTGGTCGGGGGGGGGGAACTCCCTGGCAACAGGCCCGGTGCCCCCCTGTAAATAGTCAAAAATGCCTCTTTCCCTGCCGCTTACCCTTAGAGGGACCAGGCTGCTGGGTAGAACAGGACTGCCTCTGCGACCGGCGTTTCTGGTCTCGAGGCCTTCTGTACGGGGACTCATATCTGCCCCTAGCGGGCTGAGCTGCCGGGAGCGATTTGGCCATGTCCTTTGCCGGAGGGACGTAGAGGCCCAGGGTCTGCAGGGTGATGCGGGAGTCTTTCCTCCCATGCAGCCTGACGTCCGTTTGGTCTGCAAAGAGCGCCTTGCCATCGAACGGGAGGTCATGCCTCAGGGATTGGGCCTCCGTCGACAGACCCGACAACAGGAGCCACGATGCCCGGAGCATGGAGATTGCAGACGCCATGGAGCGAGCCGCCGTGTCAGCCGCATCTGACACCGCTTGTAGGGCCGCTTTAGCTGCTGCCGACCCCTCTTCCACCAGAGCCTTGAAGTCCTTCCTATCCCGGTCCGGGAGAAGGGGCTCGAACTTAGGCAAAGACTCCCACAGGTTAAAGTCATACCTGCTGAGTAAGGCCTGGTGGTTGGCTACTCTCAGCTGAAAACTAGCTGACGAATAAAACTTTCTGCCAAAGGAGTCGAGTCTCTTGGCATCTTTGTTCTTAGGGGTGGGCGTGGGTTGGCCTTGGCACTCTCTGTGGTTCACCGACTCAACCATGAGCGAGTTAGGTGCCGGGTGGGAGTAAAGGTATTCGTGACCCTTCGCCGGCACAAAATAGTTCCTTTCAGCCTTCTTGGAGACAGGGCCCAAGGAGGTGGGAGCTTGCCACAGGGAACTGGTGATATTGGCAACACCTTGGTGTAATGGCAGGGCCACGCGGCCCGGTGCCGAGGGAGATAGAACGTTGAAAAGGGAATCAGATGGTCCCTCCATCTCCTCGGCCTGTAGCTGAAGGTTGGATGCCACCCGCTTCAGCAAGTCCTGGTGCGCCTTAAAGTCCTCCTGCGGTACCGAAGGTGGTGGCACCACAATGGCGTCGTCCGGTGCCGGAGACGCTGCACCTCGGAGTCGGGCACCGCAATCGGTGCTGGGGCATCAAGACCCAGGTCGGAGTCTGGTCTCGGGTCCGCCGAGTCCTGGCCTGTCGACTTATCCCGTGGGTGGCCCAACGAGGCCGATGGAGCCTCGGACGCTCTGGCAACGGAACGAGCCCCCCGCTGGGCCGGTATCTGCTGCCAGGGTGCCCACTGGCATCATTGTCCTTGCTACGGGGTACCGTGCCATTGACTTTGCTGGGTACCTGATGGCACAACGTGTCCCGGCGGGGCAGTGCGGCCCGAGGACGGGAAGAAGGGTGCCGAGGCCGAGGTGGCCAAAGACTGTTCGGTGCCTCGGGAGCAATGGGAATGGTGCCTGTGGCATTGTCTCCCTCGCGATCTGGACCTCAATGACGAGGAACGGTACCCCCTCGACGAGCTGCTTCGGTACCCGCGACAGCGGAACGAAGCCCGGTGCCGTGACGCCGAGGTACCCCGGGGGGAGTCTCTGGCCCGGTGTCTGGTCGAGCGGGAGCTGGAGCGTGAACGACGACGTCTGTCGCGTCGAGATCGGCTCCGGTACCCACGCCTGACCGGGGAGCGTTCCCGGTGCTTCTCACGGTGTCTGCGCTCATTGGCGGGCGGCGTAGATGGGCCCGCGATTCCCGTCTCGACAACGGGTCGGAGGGTCCGGCCGGTGTTGACAGTGGCCGGGAGTCCCCCGATGAGCAGTCACTGTGCGCCGAGCGGTGCGGGGAGCGATCCCCGGAGCGGGAGCTGCGGCTCGCCGAAGAGGTCTGATGGGCACCTAACGGGGGCTTGTCTCAAGACCTGGGGCCCATACTCGGTTGCGTGCTTGGCACGGACAAAGACATAATGTCCTTTGCAGCCTGCACCGCCTCCGGCGTCGGCGGTATCCGTACCGGGGATGTCTGGGTCGATGGCACCGGGCTGCTCCGCTCCACGCGAGTCAGAGGTCTTAAGCCCGGGGGGGACCGAGGGCTGCCCAGCGCGGAACCAGCCTTCCCCTTGTCCTTATCGCGGCGTCGCTGCGAGGCCAGGCCCTTCCCTTGCTTTCTGGAGGGAGAGCGGTGCTGAGTGGTCGAAGGGGCCTCGCTACGTACCGACGACGTGGCGGCCGGTGCCGAGTCCAATCTGCGCACCGGCATCGGTGTTAACGCCGACTCCATTAGGAAAGCTCGAAGTCTGAAGTTCCTCTCCTTTTTGGTTCTTGGTTTGAACGACCTACAGATTTTGCAGCAGTTGCTAATATGAGTCTCACCCAGGCAGCGAAGACACTCAGCGTGAGGGTCGCTCCTGGGCATAGAGCGGCGACAGGAGTCGCACGACTTGAAGCCTGGGGCACGGGGCATGCCCGGAGCCCAAGCTAACTCTGAGAACAATCTGATGAACAGTACCACTAGGGAAGAAAGGCTGCAGCGGAGCTGGAGCGCAAAGTTCTGATTACCTTCACTGGCGGCAAGAAGGAACTGAGGGTGGGAGGAGCCCGTGACTCTCCTTATAGCATGATATACAGGCGCCACTCCA